GTGGTAAGTTAACCTCATCCTCCCGCCACACTAAAAAAAATTTTTTTTGGTCCCTCTTAATTGTTTATCCTTGTGTCATGCACACTTAACTGACACCCTCCCGTTTCCTTCGGTCTTAGCCGACAAGTCCATGTCCATTTTACTCGGACGTCCCATCTGCCTTCGCGATGAAGACTGTACACTTCACTTCCCCAAAGAAGTCGATGATGAATAGTAAGTCTATCAACCGTCCAGTTCGCGCAACCTCTCCTCTTCTGCTCGCGACCCCCTCATCCCACCCCGGATATCGGTCTCTCCATTCTTGGGCATCGGTCACTTATTCTCAAACTCAATGGGCGAATTGCCTGATTGAGATAACGTGATTTCCTATCTTTTCCCATGGAATTTCCGAGGCTCCCCCAGGCACCTTGCCCATTCGCCCTGCTTTTACCGACGTTATCCCGAGGATAACCAGCACATGGTCGAAAGTTGGGGGAGTTATCCGGTCTTTTACTCTCTCTAGTTATGTCTGTAATATTGGGATTGGGCGCTGACCATCATTGCTTTTTCTATGATGCCCTCTTACGACACGATCCACCCCTTGCGATCGCAATTAACCAAACCTCTGCCGCGCCACTGCGAACGGTGTCCCTACTCGTTAACCATCTCACCCGCAACTATCCATCAAACTCACTTTAACGCCCAATCAGTATCACTTCCACTGCAATTCTGCCTCAACCAGCCGGCAAGACTGCCATCGTTTCTGGGCTGAACTACATCACCCGGATCTTCGCCCTATTGGGCGAGATCCTCGTCCGCATCCGAGTGGACAAGCGTTCTCCCCCACAAGGTCCTTTCGCTACCGCTCGCCTTGAGGAAGTGCGCTCGCTTCATGCACGCATCCTCGGCGCCCTTGCTCATGCCCCTGCCCCTCTCCGTCTCAAGAACATTGGAATGGGCGGCCCTGGCCATGTCACCAACGGCGTTAATGGTACGCAAGTTGGCTCAGTAGCGGTCGGTGCCAATGGTGTCGGCGCTGGTGTTACTACTGGGGCCGGTGACTGGCCGGGAGGTGCTGGTTTCAGGCAGGCGACCTTCCAGGAAGTCAGAGAGTTCTTTGACAATCCCAAGGCATCGCGTTCGCACGCGAGCAATCCATTCCTGGTGATGCAGGCGAATCTCTATGTGACACAGGTTAGTCAATTTTCTGGCGCACCTTCTCTATTGAACGGGGGCGCTGACCTTTCATTTTAGCAATTGGTTCGCTTTGTCATTGAGCAGTATCGCGACGAGCTGATGCTCTCGATGCACGCTGCCACTGGAGAGGAGATCGAGCAATCTTCTCAGGAGGACCGCGAAGCTGTGGCCAGCGACCTTCTCAACGTCCTACACAGCATCCCCATCCAAGCCATCGCTACCAACGGCCCGTCGCTGGTCCACAAAGTCCGCTTCGTTGCGTCGACATTGTTGGACGCTGTCCGAAAGGCAGAGACCGCTCCGGTCTCGGCGGCGAGAGCTCATGCTTACCTCTGGGACTTCCTTTCTATTCTGTCCGAGATCGAAAGGAACTATCTGCTCGATGACGACGTCGATGGGGCTAGCAACGGTGATGGTGTCCCCCTCCTCAACAGCGCATGAATTCGATGACGTCGGTCGGTCCGACCGATGGTGGAACAAATGCCCAAGAGGCCAAAAAAAAGTCGAGTCTTATAACTATTATTATCAAACTGGAGAACCAAAGAAAACGTCAAGGTCCTAACTCTATTCCCAAAATCTTTAAAACCCGTATCCCTTCAGCAGCCGTGCTCGCTATCTTTTACAAAATTCCAATCGTTCAAACTGAAAAATATGGTCATTCGTTCTGCAAGCTCAATCGTTTATGTGTTATTCAACGGCTGTCGTCCCCCCACTGTATCCCTGCGGATTCGTTCCAAACCCCAACTCTCTCCTCGATAAACACTGTGTCAACAAAGGATTCAAAGGATTTTTCTTCGATGCTATCTTCGGCCTCTTTTATTATGCCAATATCACGCTTTTCACTCTGCTCGCGCGCGTTCCAATAGAGCACGAAAAACGATCTAGTCTCGGTTGACGACGTATCTACGAAGACAAGCCTCTCGCCAAACGAAAGGTTACCTCCCGACGAAGTGCATCGCATTATACTCTATTCACCCTTTGCTATCCTCGATGCAAGAAAGGGACACTTGAGCTGTCTCTTCAATCCCGCCTCAAACGACATCACATCCTGACATGGCTGTAGCGATGGGATGTCGCGTTATTTACCCTCTAAGCATACCCGACGCGGGCATGAAATTGACACACATCGTTATCCCTTCCCCCCTTTCCTCCCTTCTCACCTCCTATTTCCCCCCGTGGCCCTCCCACGCCTGTCCTGTCTTTTTAGTGGCACCAACAATCATCATCGCAATTATAACCCTCTGCAATCTCATCCCATCCTCTGCATCTATATCCCGCTGTGTCTCATTTCATTCCCGCGTCGTATCGTGGCGCCTTATTGTATTATTTTCCTCCTGACACAAACCTCTCATGTTGCTTTTATCTCAACCGTTCTTCGGCTGTTACCCTTGGTTTCAGATGACTTTCCTGGAAATGACTGGTTTTTATTTGTCACAACGTTGCCATTAGTTGGTCGTCGATGTCTTTACATTTTGACGAATACTGATACCCAATATATGGCTTTTGTGCATGATAAACTTGACTGAACTGAGTATAAACGCGTGAATATTGATGAGTAGTGAAGTCATTAAGGTATTATTCTATATAAGTCCCTGTAAGATTTCCGCAGTAGGAATGACAGTGGCGTGTTTAAGATAGGACATGATTGATAGAAGCTACACGAATGCTCGTGTAAGGAAAGAGTGGTGAGCTCATAATGACTGAGAAACTGTGAGTGGATGGGAAGGATAGGCGATGTCAAATGCCGAGGAGCAAGTCCTGATCGGAGGTCAAAGCTGGAGGCCGAGTTAGTGTATTGCTTAGCTTGAGATTGCCGTGATCTATTCTCCACGTTGTCCACGTGCGCAACGTGGGATTAGGAATACGAAGTGTGTGTGCGTCTGTTTATCCGTGACTCTTCCATAGCCAGAATCATTGACCTAGCATTATGCAATATCCACCCGTTAGAGGGTGTCTTTTGCGTTCTCCTTGGTAACCATGTTCTGGTTTTCGGAAATGTCCTCGTTCTGGTCTTTAGAATGGCTCGGCCAGGCTTGGTCTTCATCACGGAGCTCCTCTTGACACTCCGTAGCCTGATCGGAACTTGCCAGTGAAAGGTGGGAATCATCATAGTTCGTGGGACCTAGTATATCATCTTCGGATCCAACAATGTCGAGAGTGTCGGTCGATTGAACATCCCCCAAAGGATCCTTCTCGGTCGGCGGCGAGTAATTATCACTCGTGACCGAAATCTTTCCGTGGTCAACGTCGGCTGAACCCTGGATCTTTCAAGGATGGTTACCGACAGTACGATCACTGTAAAAGGAATGCGGAGTAATACGAACCTCAGCCGCACCCTTCGGCGAACTGTATTCTTCTGCCATTTTGACCTGCACACTACTTCTTTCTCGGAGAACCCCCATATCCGCCGCTTGGCTTTCGACCTCTTCACTTAGTTTAACGTGCTCGGCCTCCTAAATAAGTTGTGATGGATTTAGTGAATAGCTGCAATAAGAGGTTATGCACCCACCAAAGTGGACGAGTGCCCTGACTCCTCCCCCTTTTCAGAAGATATGTCTTCGAATGTGGATGCAAGAGCCATGCTATCATTTGATTGTTCGACGCCCTCAATATCTGGCGAAGCTAAGACTGACTAGGGGGTCGGACGATATGTCAGTCTGTAAGTAGTTATGTCAACTTACAAGTCTACTCACCTCAGGAGTACCTGTTCTCACAAGGTGTGGACCAAGTGAAGGGTCATTCGACTCTTCTGCAACTCCCTGTTCCAATGAGTCTAGATACTCTCGACCTTGTTTCGCCAATGCCCGGAGGTTTGTGACAAATTTGGAAGGAGGTCGTTTCGAGTTGAATCTAAGGGCCAATCGTTCCAACTGTTCATCACTAGTAGAAGGAGCAACTTGGCTGGACCCAATGCCTTCGTTGGAATCTGCGTCCACCGATGGTTTGCGCGTGTAGTCGATCCCCACCCATTTTTGTGCCATCGTCTTGGCGTCCATTCCACGTGGCAACGAAAAATGAAAGTCGTCCTTTCTTTCTACCAAAGCATCCCGCTCTTTCCTAATGGAGGCCCGTAGCTCTGACGAACTGGACGACGATCTTGCAATGTTGAGTAGGATACCCCCTGGAAAAAGTGTCATTACAGTGGGATGTATGGAAACAAACGACGTACACTGATCATCTTGTGTCCCAAAGTTCATCGGTCCAGTGATTCGTTTGCCATTGAGATAACTTGTCGCTGACACGTATAGCTCTACCAATGGTCGTTCACCCTGTGTTTCCTCATCCCATTCCTCAGGCTCCACATAGACTCGCATGACCGGATCGTCAGCAGAAGCTTCAAACGCGCACTTTGTCGAGGTCCCAGGGAAGCAGGATGTTACCTCCGAAAGGATTGCTTCCAAGCACTTGACGCATTGTTCGAAGACGCGATCCCCTTGAACTGGTCCACCAAATAGCCGTTCATCCATATCTTGGCGAGTAAAGTATTGAAAGCCAAACATCAAGACCGTGTTGTGATATGCAACGAAGATCCCATCCATATTACCGATCCGGACTTGGAAGCTATTCAAATCATTAGCATATACGCCTAGTATAGATATAGCGAGACTTGCTTGTATTTTAAGAAGGCAGAACGGATAAGATCGTATTGTTCTCTCTCAAAGCTCTCAAATGGGCCCTGAAGCGACCGAATCAGGTAACCAGAATTATCCTAGATAGAATTTAGAAGCAATGAAGGCGGGTTTGTGTTCGAGAATCACCATATGGTTAAGGGGGTCGTATCGAATGGCAACTACTGCTCTTGTCTTGATGTCGAATATCCCTGATCCTGGTAGTCGGTCATCTTGGGCATCGAGTTGTGCACGCATTACGAATCTATCCGACTAAGGATATTTAATAAGTAGAATGTGGCCCTCAGATAGAGCATTACCTTTGAGTAACGATAGCTTTCTCCTTGAGAGGGCAAGACGGTGTCCTCCGTTAAAGGTGTCGAACGGCGAAGTTTGTCAAATTCGCCAGTGGGATTGATAAGGAATTTCTCGAGCATAGTTCCCTATCACCAAATAGGTTGATACAATGTATGATAAGGATACTTGGACGTACCATATTAAGGAGTAAATGCTTTTCGGGCTCGTTAACTCCATCGGAATCGATGGAATAAATACCTTCGCGATGCCTTAGGGTGATACCTCCAGGCCATCGTGCACCATAGGTAAATTCTTTAGACTGAGAGGTGTGAGGTGAGATTCAAACGAGAGGAAACAAATGCTTTACCTCTTTGCTGAATGCAGATGATAATGTAGAAGTGTCCACCCCTCGCCCATTAGATATTAAAAAAAAGATATGCGATAGTAATGATGTCAATGAAGATGTCGAGCCTGTAAACTGCTTTCCTTCTCGTTTCGCTAATTCAAAGAGAGCCTACAGTATACGTTAGCGGGTTCGATCCAATTCGGTAGGGATAGACTTGCATTATCCTTTGAACTGGTTACGTAGGGTTGAATACGCGCAAAATCAAAGTCGTAAATATCGGGCACTTTTTCCAGTACTTCATCGAAATTGGCCACTCGTGATCGTGGGTCGCGCAACCAATGGGGTCCAGAACTAAAGGCTAGACATGTCAGCTTCATTCACTCCAAACTGTGTTGGATCACAGACTTGAATAGGACTCTGTCTAGAGAGTGCGCTAGGGTGGGTACTGGAGGTTGTGGCTCTAGACCTTCGATGGTCTCTAGAGTAGGTTTGCCGTCCGAGGACGTCTGAACCCAAGTTTGCACTCGTCGGTCAAATTGTGGTGCATCACGCTCATGTCTGTAAAAAGCCTCTTGCTCAAACTTTCGCAGCGTCGAAAGGTTGACGCGCGAGTCGTGTGGCGGTTTTTGATGGCTGGTCGACAGAATTTCAGAAGAACCAGTAAGAGGAGCAGGTGAAGCTGTTAGTTCTAGGTATTATGAGCGCGTCAATCTCGAGTTTATTCGTGTTTAAAGAGGT